CAATGAGGCAGGAATATAGATCAGCAACCTGGGACTTGGTCACAATTTTCGTGATGCCATATAGCAGCAGGGTCTACCATTAGACAACACATTATGCTTCCAATATCTTCCCAGGTGGTAGTACCTCCCTGTTTGGTAGCGGCCTACTACCTACTACCCGTGTGATTTTATCAAGCAGGGTTGCCAACTCGGATTTTCAAATGTCGCTAGGCTGGTACCTAAAAGTAGCTAAATGTCGCTAAATCTTCCATGGAAAGTCGCTAGCTATTATTCCCCCCCTTCAGCAATTTGATGCAAATTATATTTTCATAATGCCGACTATAATGGACGGAGTATAAATAAAATGCATTATGTAAAAATAAAAATATTATTTTTTTTTAAGTTTAATGTGCACACTTACCTATTATTCAATAGTAATTGCATCCCAGTCCTCTTGGTAGTGTAAACAACTGTAGAGCTGGAAGCATGTGAAGTGCTTGGTTCAGGTTCTCGTGCAGATATCTTGTAACTGTATGCCTCCACAGTCCCTATCTTTCTTAAAATATCACTAGGAAGTTCATAACTTGCACAACAGGTGTTCTGTCTTTTTAACCCATACTTTATTGTAAGAATTGCCTTTAATGTCGATAGTTTCATTTTGTTGCGCAATTTTGATTTCACAAAGTTCATATTACTAAATGTGCGCTCTACATCTGCGTTTGAATGCGGAAGAGATAAGGCAGCGAGTGCAATTTCAGCCAGATCATGGTAAGGGTTTTCACCTGTCGCATCTCTGTAATTTGCCACTTCTGACCACAATTTTAGGGTGTTAGATGTTTCTGTCCAGATTGTGTGATGCAGTTTTTCCACTGGAAATCAATCTTGGTAAGGGTGCTGGAATCTTCTGTAAATAAGTGTGCCAAACCAAGTATATCTGATTTAATAGGCTTCAAGCATTCATCGGCACTCAGAAAAGATATAGACTGCAGCACACGAATGTTGTCAGGTGAGCGTTGACGAAGTTGTTTTATGAGTTCAACCCGTTCAAATGTATTGTCCCTGTAACCCCGTTGCTATATATTATGGCTCGAAATTAGGAAAACCGAGTTTTCATGGACAGTCCAAAAGTATCCAGAAAGTCGCTAGATTTCTGTGGATATCTCTAGATTTGCGACAAGTCGCAAATCGCTCTAATATGTCGCTAGAAAAAAACAAAAAGCTCTAGATCTAGCTACAAAGTCGCTAAGTTGGCAACTCTGTTATCAAGATTTATCTTATCCACGTTTTCATTGTGGATCTACGTGAAATATATATATATATACAGTATATATATATATATATATATATATATATATATATATATATATATATATATATATATATATATATATATATATATATATATGTGTGTGTAGCAGGAACAAAATATACCAAAATTTATCAATGATTTCATCAATATTAAGCTTCTGCAAAATGACACATTCAATGTTCACAAGAGACAGGAAATTGAGACGCTGCTAGGACATCGTTGAACGCAGTTCATGTTTTATACGCTTCAACTTCGGCCAGTGCCTCAAGTGCTTCATGGTTAATCCGGCACTGGTATTACTGATATTACAGAGGTGATTTGTTATTTAATAAAACAAAAATATGGTTACGAATATTATGAAAAAATTCTGTGTTTAACATAAAATTGTAGATTTTATGCATATCTATTTGTTGTATACATATCTGATTTCTGATTACGTACAATATTAAAGTACAATATTAAAGAGCTTTTGTTATGAGTACTTTGGGACGAGCTAGTTAGCATGCGAACCAGCTCCTTTTGATGTTTTTGTCTATAAATGTTTTGAATTTGATATCTTCGGTTAACTTACCGATGTTGAGTAAATAATATAATAAATATGAGACCTCGCAAGGTGCGGAGTTGCTATCGGCAGAGGAAAGCTTGTGAGCCAAACGTATAGTGATATTCTCATTGGTGGAGCTCGATAGGGACCCAGCGTCACAACGTTATCTAACCTCAAATGTTCATAATTATACACCTTATAACTGCCACAATAAACCAGCTGCTATTTTTATAAAAATATGTAGATAATTGTTGGTAAAAATAAAATATTCTGAAGAGCGATGAGGATTTTAGTCTCTTGAATAATTACTTTTTAGTTGAACAAAAAATAGTGTCTGGTAAGTGTAGCTCATGGGCGGCATTGTCACAAGCGTACCGAGTCCCTCAGTGTACGATTTATCCAGTTTTCCTTACTACCTTATTTTTGTTTCGGCAAATATTAACACAGTTTATTTATATTATCACCAATGAGGATAAACTTGACGGCAAAGTACAGTACAACCACCAACACACTGGATATACAAAAGTCAAGCTGCACTACGGTATACGGTGAGTGTTGTCGTTGAACGTTAAATTAACTCTTATTAATTTTGCCTTTTTGGAAAATGCTTCTTGTGAATATTCCTCAAAATATTCAGAGATTTTCTATTTAATTTGTCTGTAGGATTTGTGTTAATGTGTTTACTGTTTATATGTTTCACCTCATTTTCCAAAGCATGGTCACTCAAATTGGAGGTGGTCATTGAGCCTTGGGAACGAGGCCAGTCAGGGGCGGATCGAGTAATATCAAAAGGGGGATCCAAGAAGTTATGGGTGGGGGAACATTGCATTAAAGAAAAGTATTGGATCCGCCCTCGCCAGTGACCAATGTAGGATAACCCAATTGTCTAGATAATCTTACTATCTTCAAGCCCAGTACTGTATTCGGTTCCACAGTTTAAGCTGGTAGACTATCCCATAGAACTAGCACACCGTTTTATACGATTTTTACCATCTTAGTTCAATTATCAGATCAGGTTAGGGTAGGTTAAATGAAGTCAGGTGATGGCACCGAGTGTGAGTTCTTTCAAGACCAGACTTGACCAACACTAGAGCAGGTTCAGGCACATTCAGGAGCCGGTGCATGCCCAGTACCTGCCAACAGTGCGTAACAGAGAGCCAGTACATGACTAGTACTTGCCTACAGTGCGTGATAGAGACGTGGCCGATCGCTTAAGCGGCTAACGAGCCGATCAGTGGTGAAGAGGATAAAAGTAAAAAAGTAAAGTAAAGTGTGAATCGTCGAAGTGCGAAGTACAGTAATCGTATTTCCTTGTATTCGTCCTGCATGACATCTTCTAACTTGAGGTTGTCCCTTAGTGTTTGAGATGCGCGCCGCAGCGTGATATGACGAAAAATGGCCTTTCAAGATTTTGAATGTTTTAATGAGCTTGCCCTATTGTGTCTTGTTTGAAGGGTTGTTGTTCTACGGCGAGAGCCTTAGGACTTAACATGGATAATCGAGATGATGAAGTTTAGGTATAATATAAATGGAGACGCACTATGCAGGATACTGACAGGTATAATGTTGAAGGAGCAACTTCTTGGTATTGGAAGGTACAACTTATAAATGTACACAAATCTATCAAATATTACAGTAAAAATATTGGTATTATAATACAAGATGGAGGAAACATCTGAGTGAAGGAAAATGCACATAAATATCCCCAGTTTGAAAATTACATAAAATATCCCATCATTTACTTTTACTTTTTTTACTTTTATCCTCTTCACCACTGATCGGCTCGTTAGCCGCTTGGGCGATCGGTCACGTCTCTGTTACGCACTGTTAGCAAATACTGGGCATGCACTGGCACCTGAATGTATCTGGACCTGCTCCAGTGCTTGTCTAGTCTGGTCTTGAAAGAGGTCACACTCGGTGCCGTCACAACGCTCTCCCGCAGATTGTTCCAAGAGTTCACAACTCTCACTCAGAAAAAAAATTGCCCTCGCAGTTTTCTTACTTGTGGCTTCTTCAACCTTGAGCTGTGACCCTTTGTGGGGCGGATGTCCGCCAGCTCCAGGTATGTACATTCGACCGAGTAGTGCCCCCTGAGATGTTTATACACTTCGATTAGGTGGCCCCTCGCCCGTCTGCAGTATAAGCTAGGTAGTTGCAGGTGCTCCAATCTCTCTGGTGGCCCTCCTTTGGACATTTTCAATCAATTGACAATCTCCAGCATACCTTAGGGACAAGACGGGGTGACAGTACTCCAGACGAGTAAGCACCTCACTCTTGAAGATCGTGACGAGTGACGGACCAACCAGATATCTAAACTACTGTACCTTCTTATAAGACCTACTAATTTCTTTGCCTGATTCACATTCTTCTCACAATGGCTCGAGAACTTAAGTTCATTGTCGACATACACACCCAGGTCTCAATTAATGCAGTCACTTCGTTCTGTTAGGACATGCGACACACCTCTTTACTATTGGTGCAACCCAGGTACATTCTTTTGCACTTCGTGACATTGAATTTTAGCAGCCATATCCTCGACCATTCTTGAAGCTCATACAGAACTTTCTGCAGCTCTTCACAGTCTGTTTGGTTCTTAATTTCCCTAAATAACTTGTCATCATCCGCAAATATCTGTATGAAGGAGTGTATAGCTTCTGGCATGTCATTAATGACATAGACAGTGACAGAAAAGTAGTAGTAGTCTCTAAATTATTTTTCTTTAATACTTTTGTCCATTACAATTCACTAGTTATTCATTGATGTATTTATTTTATTTATGTATGGCACTGATAACTTATAAAGTTATGTTCTTCGGATAAAATCTTGTCTTCAAAGTGGATACGGTAAACTTCAGGTGGGTACAAGTTGCCTTGGGTAAGAGTTCTTCTAAAGAATAATGTCCTAGCGTGGATAGAATACTTTCTACATGACCTGTCACAAGCGGGGTACCACAGGGCAGTGTATTGGGCCCGCTGTTTGTTTGTTTGTTTCATAAATGACATGTCTGACGTTGTACACTCCTCCATACAAATCTTTGCCGATGACGCCAAGTTATTTCGGGAAATCAAGAACCAAGCGGACTGTGAAGAGCTGCAGAAGGGCCTCTGTGGGCTCCAGGAATGGTCGAAGAAATGGCTGCTGAGATTCAATGTCACGAAGTGTAACAGGATGCACCTGGGCATACCAACTGTAAGGAGGCGTATCATATGTCCCAACGGGATGAAGAAACTGCACTAGTTGAGACTGAATGTGAGAAGGACCTACAGTAGGTGTGTATGTTGACAATGAGCTGAAGTTCTCGGGCCATTGCGAGAAGAAGGTAAATCAGGCAAATAAATTATTGGGTCTTATAAGAAGGTCGTTCAGATATCTAGACGGTCTGTCCTTCGCAACGATCTTCAAGAGTAAAGTGCTTCCCCATCTGGAGTACTGTCACCCCGTCTGGTCCCCGAAATATGCTAGGGACTGTCAGTTGGTTGAAAATGTTCAAAGGAGGGCCACCAGACTGGTGCCTGCACTTCGGCACCTCAGCTACCCTGAGAGATTGGACCTCCTGAACTTGCCTAGCTTATACTACAGACGGGCAAGGGGTGACCTAGTTGAGGTGTATAAACATCTCAGGGGGCACTACTCAGTTGATTGTCCTTACTTGGAGCTGGCGGACGCTCACCCCACAAGGGGTCACAGCTCAAAATTGAAGAAGCCACAAGTCCAGAAAACCGTGAGGGCAAACTTTTTCGGAGTGAGAGTTGTAAACTCTTGGACCAATATACCAGAAAGTGTTGTGACGGCACCGAGTGTGAGCTCTTTCAAGACAAGACTTGACCAACACTGGAGCAGGTTCAGGTACATTCAGGAGCCGGTGCAGCCAACAGTGCGTGACAGAGACGTGACCGATCGCCCGGGCGGCTAGCGAGCCGATCTTTTGGTGAAGAGGATAAAAGTAAAAGTAATAAATACGAAACGTGGAGGCTCATGGCATTGGAGGAGATATTCTAAAATGGATTAGGACGTGGTTACAGGACAGGAAACAGCGAGTAAGCATTAACGGCACTAAATCCGATTAGGGTAACGACGTTATTTCTACAGATTTATCTATAGATCTACAGATTTCGTGCTTAATTTCAGATTGTCAGAAGTTTTCTGAAAAAGAGGCTTAAGCTACAGATTTTTGTATAAGAAGACATTTTCATAATAAAATACGGACTTAATTTTCTTAGTGAATAAGAAGAAACTGACCAATATACCGTAGATATTATTTCAACCTTATGAGAATTTGTTTTAAGTTTCCCCTAACAATAACACACTTCCCATGCTCTGTGTCTGCCATCTACCGGCCACACTCGGAGTTACAAACACTGCCTTTGAAAACAGGAGGGAAGCTAAGAACGACAAAATCTCACTTTTACTTTTGACTTTTATCCTCGTCACATTGATCGGCTCGTTAGCCGCCCGGGTGATCGGTCACGTCTCTGTTACACACTGTTGGCAAGGACTGGGCATGCACCGGCTCCTGAATATACCTGAACCTGCTCCACTGTTGGTCAAGTCTGGTCTTGAAAGAGCTCACACTCGGTGCCGTCACAACACTCTGGTAGATTATTTTAAGAGTTCACAACCCTCACTCAGAAAAAGTTTGCCCTCACAGTTTTCTGGACTTGCGGCTTCTTCAATCTTGAGCTGTGACCCCTTGTGGGGCGAGCATCCGCCAGCTCCAAGTAAGGACACTCAACTGAGTAGTGCCCCCTGAGATGCTTATACACCTCAACTAGGTCATCCCTTGCCCGTCTGTAGTATAAGCTAGGCAAGTTCAGGCTTTGATATAGTGGGGCATGCTTGGTTGTTTTAGCTTGTCGTTATATTGTCGGGTAAATTTGCATAAGCGCACCCAACTGTTAGAAAGTCAATAATATATTTTTCTAGTGTATTTATGTGTGTTTAGACCGATTATGACCTTCATTTCCCTTGGAAAATGTCCAATTTTTTTTCGTGGGTCATTTTCCGAAAAAAAATAATGGCTAAGTGAGTAGAAAATACACAAAAAACCACGAGAAAAAATAAACCAAACCTAACCTAACCTAACTGACTCTCACCATATGATGGAATCATTTATTTCTTACCTTATTGGCCGTCTCTTCTTTGTCTTTGGGATGAGGGACGAGTTACCACAATGCCACATATGTTGGTCTTGACGATGTTTACATTCGTTCTTACACTTAGGACACTTTACTGAGGTTGGGAGAACACCATGAGATTGAAAAAATGCTGTAGTTTCTTAATTTTTTCCCAAAAACTCGCAATCAGCTCCATATAATTGAAGTGACACCCATCGCAGACTTCCATGGTCAGAAATGAATTTGAATTTGGAAGTATGAGAGACCGAAAATAAAAATCGAATTTGATTGGACTAAAAATACCGCGAATTAAACCACAAATCATTTTAATTGGTCCCCCCCCAAAAACTCTTTTGATTGGCCGCGTGACGTGTACGGGAACGCATGCGCGTGATGATTTATGAAAGAGACACGCAATGTGGGAGGCGAGGTAGGCGATAATGGCGGAAGATTAATGGAAGAAATAGAGAAAATTTTGGATACGCTATCTCCGTTATTATACATTTGTGATGGTAATGTAATAGAAGAAAATTATCTTATAATTAGACGTCTTATTCGAATATGATAATAGATTAGGGGTAGGAATGTGGCTTGCAAAAATGCAATAATACCTATTGTCGTATTCTCTATTATATGTACAGGTGTCAACATGGAAGAGGAAAGTGAGAATGAGGGATATAATTCTCAAGAGGAGAAGAAAACTGGTTCTAAAAATTAAAGGAGATAATCACAGAAATTTTGTAGAGAATTTGAAAGTGGTCCTCAACTTAAAGGCTGGGTAAAAGCTGGCTCATAAGGAGATGGTTATGCTTACTGTAGTGCTTGTGATGTTCACCTTAAACTGACTGCTGGTAAATATGGTCTAGAAATGCACAGTGAAAACAAAAAGCACTTAGGTAACCCAAAGGCAGCTCAAGGTCAAAGCTCCCTAACAAGCTTATTGGTGTCCAAAACTGATGATGATGTTAAAGAAGGTGAATTACAATTTGCAACATTTATAACAGAGCATGATTTACCCTTGTCTCTTATCGACCATCTCCCCAAACTAATTCAAGCTGCTTACAAAGATTTAAAGATTGCAGATAAAATTAAATGTGGTCGAACAAAAACAACTGGACTAATCAATAATATGACTGGACAAGAATATCACGAGCAACTTACTAAACTTCTGCAGGACAAAATTTTTTTATTAATTGTAGCTGAATCTACTGACAAAGGTTGTGTTAAACATCTGTGCATGGTTGATAAATCTACTGACAAAGGTTGTGTTAAACATCTGTGCATGGTTGATAAATCTACTGACAAAGGTTGTGTTAAACATCTGTGCATGGTTGATAAATCTACTGACAAAGGTTGTGTTAAACATCTGTGCATGGTTGATAAATCTACTGACAAAGGTTGTGTTAAACATCTGTGCATGGTTGATGAATCTACTGACAAAGGTTGTGTTAAACATCTGTGCATGGTTGATAAATCTACTGACAAAGGTTGTGTTAAACATCTGTGCATGGTTGATAAATCTACTGACAAAGGTTGTGTTAAACATCTGTGCATGGTTGATGAATCTACTGACAAAGGTTTTGTTAAACATCTGTGCATGGTTGCAAGAGCTAATGATAATGATAGTTATTGATTTTTTTCTGGGCCTCATTCCCTTGAAAGATACTACAGCTGACACACTGTACAATAATGTTGTTACCTTCTGCAATGATAATGGCATTCCCTACAAAGACAATCTAATAGGATTTGCTGCAGAAGATGCCAACTCAATGTTAGGAGCACATCAATATCTTTCATCCTTATTGAAGGCAGATGTCCCTCACTTATTTATGAAGTGCATATGCCATTCATTTGTTCTATGTGCATCCTATGCATTTCTAAAGCTTCCTCAGTCAATTGAAGATTTAGCAAGAGATATATACAGTTAACTTCAATTGTAGCTCTAAGAGAGTAGGAGAGCTAGAAGAATTTCAAATGTTCACAAATGTAAAATCACACAAATTATTGCATCCATCCCAATGCTCTAAGACTCTATTTCACTAATGCAGTCTTGTGTGATAAGCTTATTGCCACTGAAACAATCCTAAAAACGTTGTCTAACCCTGTCACAAGACTGCACCTCCTCTTCCTGGGATTTGTCTTGTCAGTGTTTAACAAAGCAAACAAGCAAATGCAGTCTCAGCGTACCCAAATTCATGCCCTGTATAGTTTAATTTCATGTACTCTAAGAACAATTTTGGACTGTTACATGAAACAGAGTTACCTTTCAAAGACACCACTGAAGCAAATGAGATTCAGAGATCTGATTAATTTAAAACCAATCTGGGTGTCAAAGTAGGGATGGAAGTAAGAAGTTCAAACCAGTATGAAAAGGACGACGTAAACAGGTTTAGGTTAAATTTTGTAGCGTTCTTCATCGAAGCTGCCACCCAGAACTACAAGAGACATTATTTTGAGTCTGTAAATGTAGGATCTTTGAAAGCTGTAAGTCCAAAAGTGGTGTTTGATAAGGAAATCTCATCACTGGTTAATCTGTCACAGATCTATGACTATATTGCTACAGATATTCAAGCAATAAACACAGTGGAGGCTGCCAAGTAATTCTGTAGGAACTCTTGTTGAGGTCAATTCCAGTATGAAACCTGAGGAATTTTGGAGTAAAGTAAAGTAGGTGAGACCAAACAAATGGGAAATAGGCGCTCATATTCCCTAATCTCTCCAAATTCATGAAGAAACTCCTTTGTTTACCTCACTCTAGTGCCACTGTAGTGAGGGTTTTTTCAGCGATCAATATAATGAAAACCAAAACAAGAAATAGACTGTCAACAGAGACTATGATAGGCTTGCTCCAGACTAAACAGCTGTTCAGGGATTCATCTAGCTTTGACTTTAAGGTAATTAAGTCTTTGCCTCATAGAGTAAAAGGGTGGAAGTCTTAAGGAATAAGCTGATGGATAATTGGCCTTCCATTGTGATAATAGCATATGCCAGTACTGTATATACTTCATTGTGTTCATTATTTGTGGGTTTGCTAAGACAAAAATATACAATACAGTACACCGCACTTTCTCCATAGCATACCTTGGCTTACGATTTGTATTTACTTGCATATTCACTGAAGAAGGAAGCTTTCGGGAATTTTACTTTGTTCTATACTACAGCACACAGTAACTCTCAGTCAAGGTAGCTATTGTTTATTTGTATCAAGTCCTTTATACTGTGTTGATTGTATTGGTTTATTCAAAAACCTATCTGTACATTATATACTGTACAGTAAACCCTCGAAGATCAGGACCCGGTAAATCCAGATTTCGGAAGATTCGGGCAAAAAAGTTGAGTGGGTTCTGGGCTAAGAAGCCTCCCTGAGAAGCATTCCCAAAACAGGGTGAAGGTAGTTTTAGGCTTAAGTTTTTATCTTATAAAATATCATAGACTAAACTTAGCAGAATATAACTTGCATTGCTGGAATTCTTGCAAGATAGCAAATAATTTGAGTATAAACATCACAAAGTTTGCACAAGAGATAAAAATTTTAGTCCTTTAATGTAGTACATTTGAGTACAAAGTACAGTAATATGTTGCTCAAAATTATGGCTTCTTCACAGGAAAAAGTTTGTATAACTAACCTCAGTGGTCAGAATAATATGTACTGTACTGTATTTTTGGTGTTTTTTATATCATTATTTATTGTTTTTATACATTTAGTACATTCACCGGAAGATTCGGACAATCGACCTTTTCGGACAGGTGGCCGCCCCTTTTAATCCAGATCTTGAGGGTTCACTGTAATTTTGCTTTTTCGGTCGTGGGAGAGAGCTGCTTGGTTGCTTTTATAACTGCCATTTTTTTAAATATTAATAGGGTGAAACTTATAATTGTGGTTCCTGTGGGATTTGCAATGAAACACTACTGTACTGTATTTTGCATAAAATATTCCGATTCATTATGTACAGTGGTCCCTCAGTTAACGAGCACAATTCGTTCTAGAAGGTTGCTCGTTAACCGAAACCATTGTTTCAATGGGTTTTTGAGTATTTGGTTCCAGCTCACCAAAAATTGCCTAAAGTCAACAAAAAAGGTAGTAAAGTACACTTACTTTGAGGTGTGTATGTAGAAGGCTCCTGGATGATGATGATGATGGGAATTAGAATGGGGGTGGAGGAGAAGGGAGAAGAGAAGGCATTGGTGGAAGAGAAGTCACCCTATTGTGCCATTTCACCCATAAAATTTTAGTTCTCTTGGTGTAATTCAAGATTATTTTCTTTAAATCAACACGGCACTGCATTATATATTGTCAATATGTAAAATAAATTTCAAAATGACCAATAATTTGACTGGAAACACAGAAAAAAAATCGTTTATGTTGAAGAGAGTCTGAAGCAAGATGTTACCTCCACTGAAAAGACACAGAGACTGATACCTGTATGGTGTGTTGACAGGCTGTTTGGTGCGCTAAAAACTAGTTTCCCTGTACTTAAATTATGTTAAATAATTGTTAAAATGACTAAAAAATTTAATATAAGACTTTTAAAATAATTGAATAGTACAAACATCTTGATATTTACTAAAATAGTAAGGAATTTAAGCCCTAGAACTGATTACTGTACAGTATTGGTGGACTAATATAATAGCTAGTGTGCAATGGAAACATGTTGAGGGGCGCTCGTAAGGAATTCGTTAATCGAGGGAATGCTCGTTAACCGAAGTTAAGAATCTTATGGAATGTAATTCGTTAACTGAAATTTCGTTAACCGAGAGATCACTGTACTGGGTCTTTATCTTGATATGTGATACATACTGTATTTCTAACAATATTGTGCATCTAATGTGACAAAATAATGTGACGTAATATTTTCATTATACAGTCAACCCTCACTTTACGTGGTCCCACATTCCGCGTTTCCACGTTTAAGTGGTGCCCTGCCGGAACCTAACATGCTCACATTCCGCGGTGCGTGTACCCCATTACGCGGAGAGCGGCTGGCGAGCCGCGCCATTTTTGGATCCAAACCTCCCGCCATCCGCCATGTTGTGTAAGCGGCGCGAACATGGTGCGCACAAGGTCGCCCAGTCATCAAAACATTACCAGTTCTTCACCCGCCACCCACCACAGCCGGCCCAAGTCAGTGATAGTGATAATTATAGTGAGGATATGGACTTAATGGACTTTGGGGGGTTTGACAAAGAGGCCCTGCATGCCTCTGTGGTGGATAGTGATACAATTGATACAAGTGATACAGGTGAGGGCCAATAATCTGCCCTCTGCCTCGGAACCAACCGCCCATCCCCGTGTGCCCAGCCATCTTTTCTACTAATGTAAGTGTTAAAAAACCTAATATTATTGATATTTCTCTTAATTATTATTTGTATGTGCATACCATCATAAAGTTAAGATAATATTTGTTACTACAACATAGTTGTGTGTCGTCAAAAAGTGGAGTTTGGGGGTCGGCCCGGTCTCTATTTCAATTAATCCCATATGTTATGTTATTCACTTTATGCGTTTCTCACTTTCCGCGGTACCCTGTGGGTTACATTAACCGCGTAAAGTGAGGGTTCACTGTATACTGAATATGTTACTACAGTACAATATATTCTCTACAATGGTCCTCTAGAAATTTGATACTGTAGCTATATCAGAAGTTCTGCATGAAGTTTGTTAATATAATCAGATATTTTTTATATTATCATGCATTTTCTTTATATAATGGGTATATTACTAAATTGGGTATCTTCTATAGATACTGGTCATTATCCTGTAAAATTTCTGATGAAATAATAAATACTATTATAAAAATTAATTTGAGACCTTACAGATATTTCATGTAGGCATTTTTGGGAATCCACAGATTTCTACAGATTTTTTTGGCATCCAGCGTCATATTTCCCCAAATTTTTGGTGGCAACACTGCTTGGAGTTTCCAAGCTGGGCATCTTGCTTGACTGTGGGAAACACTTATGATGGAGTAGAGGGTGTTTAACTAGCTCTGGGGAGAACTCCTTATAGAGTTTCATTGGTAAGTCAATAGGGTGGTGGAGCGCTTTATCTTCAGTTTGTCCAAACGTCTTGCTACTTCGAATTCTCCAGGAAGTCAATGGGAGAGGGGGCTGGTAGGTCAAGCCCAGGGAGCGTCTGGCATATAGTTGCGAAATGGTTGTTAGATTGCTCAGCTGCATCACCATTAGTGAGATGGCTAAGGAAGGGGGTATTATTGCATTTTCGCACCCCACATTCCTACCACTAATCAATTATCATATTCGAATAAGACGTCTAATTGTATAAGATAATTTTCTTCTATTACATTACCGTTGCAAATGTATAATACATAATGGAGATAGCGTATCCCAAATTTTCTCTTTCTTCCATTAATCTTCCACCATTATCGCCTACCTCACCTTCCACACTGCGTGTCTCCTTCATAAAACATCACGCGCATGCTTTCCCGTACACGTCATGCGGCCAATCAAAAACGTTTTTTGGGGGGCAACCTATAAAAATAATTTGTGGTTTAATTCGCTGTATTTTTGGCCCAATCAAATTCAATTTTTATTTTGGGTCTCATATTTCCAAATTCAAATTCATTTCCGACCATGGAAGTCTGCGATGGGTGTCACTTCAATTATATGGAGCTGATTGCGAGTTTTTGGGAAAAAACGAAGAAACTACAGCATTTTTTCAATCTCATGGTGTTCTCCCAACCTCAGTAAAGTGTCCTAAGTGTAAGAACGAATGTAAATAGCGTCAAGACCAACATATGTGGCATTGTGGTAACTCGTCCCTCATCCCAAAGACAAAGAAGAGACGGCCAATAAGGTAAGAAATAAGTGATTCCATCATATGGTGAGAGTCAGTTAGGTTAGGTTTGGTTTAGTTTATGTTTTGCTAGTGTTTGTTTTTTGTGTGTGTATTTTGTAGTCGCTTAGCCATAATTTTTTTCGGGAAACTCCCCACGAAAAAAATTTGATAAAAAAACCTGCCAATTTCCTACTAAAATGAAGGTCATAATCGGTCTAAACACACATAAATACAATAGAACAATATATTTTTGACTTTCTAAAAGATTTGAGTGTGCTTATGCAAATTTACCAGGAAGGGGAGAGAGTGTGTCTTATTGTTTAGTCCACAGAGGGTTTTTTTTTTAGCATACCACACCCCTGGCTAATGTTGGTCTACTTCAGGTATTGCAGCATGAATGAGTAGTAAGATTTCTTTGCAGCATGTATTTCACGGATGATTTAGTTGCGTAGGGTCCTGTATCGGTTGTTGTCATTGAGATCATAGGCTGTGTTTCTCTGCAGCCTAAGTCTTTTGATCCAGAGTGTCACCCAAGGCATGTCAGCTGGAGGAATTGGTGGACTGATGGTGTTGATATAATTATGTCCATTTGGCATCTACTTCATCCACATTTAGTACATTAGTCCAGGGATGCTGAACTATCCACTGCTCGAAGAGACACATTGCAGAGTCAGTGATCGGCCTGTAGGTCTTGATGTAAGGGCTCTGCACACAGCTGGTAGTGAGAGCTGGAGACCAAAACACTGATAGGAGTGTGCTACACCTAATAGGAGGCATTGGTTTAGGTGGTTGGTACTGGTCCACCAAATCAGTTAAGATAAGGTCAAGGGTGTTTTGACTATGTGTAGGGAAGTTCACAGGTTATAATAATAGCAGCTGGTCCTGGATATCATTGGTGTCAATTTTGTTATAATCCCCACGTAGTACTAACTTGGCACATGGGTACCTAACGCTGAAGTGGTCTGAGGTGGTAATATGGTGATTGATATAAATATCTCTGGTGGGTGAGCAAGGCGAGGTGGGTGGTATGCCACACAGGATATGATAGAGGCAGTGTGGCAAGGTGGGCACATGGTACATGTACCCATAATGCCTCTTCATCAGCTGGGACTAAAACATCGAGGCATGACAGACATAGTTCATCCTGACAGAAGAGGGCAACACCCCCTCCACACCCATGTGTACGAAGGTGGTGAAAGAGTTGATGTCCCTCAATGTGGCATATTTCAGGATCAATTTGCCATGCACTTCAAATTTTTTGGCGAGAGAGGTGACAATGGAGAGTAATAAGGAGGGGAGACTGTACCATATTCAGGGAACTTCAGTGTATTGGTGCAGTCTGTTAGGAGTAGGTTTCCTTGGTTTTCTACTGGAGGTGATGGTCCTGATGGGCTTCTGTATATGATGTCCCTCTTTACAACTGCGGCCATGGAATATGTTCAGTGATTTCAGTAGTACAATAACATTGCCAACAGAATATCCTTTTCCTCGCTTTAAACTGTACAAGGTGCGCCTCGAGTACTTCACTTTGAGGACCACTGACTAATTTTCTGTGGCGTGGTACACTGGTAGACATCTGTCAATACTTGCCTAATCGTT